ATCATGATTGCAAGAAAACTTATAATCGTATGTAAGACAATTGCAATTACACTATTGATTTTCATATATTTGACTCATTTTTTGTCTACAATTACGATCACAATTGCATGTAAGAAAACAAATGTGATCGCGATTGTGATTAAAATCAAAATCATGATTGCATATAAGAAAACAATCACGATCATAATCACAATTGTGATTGCAAACAAATAAGTTATAAATATATAAAAGGCATGAAGATTGTAAATTTTCTTAAAATATAAATTAATAATAAGTAAAAAAAAAAAATGGTAAAACATAATTCGAATTTCTCAAAAACCAAACAAGTTACTCGAGCTACACATATAAAATCCATTGAGTTAGCTCTTAAAGCACTTGCAAGTTCTAACCAACCTAGTATACGAGCAGCCACACTAAGTTTTGGTATTGCAGAAGCAACTCTAAGACATGTGATAAAAAAAAATTCTTTACCTACCCACCCTGGTCCTGCGATGGTTTTAAGCAACTATGAAGAAGAACAATTAGTAGGCTATTGTAAAAATATGCAAAGACTAGGATTTGGTCTTACAAGGTCGGGAGTAAATACTTGTGTGATGAGTAGGGCTGTTAAAAAGCTGTCAGACCCGGTCCTTGAGTCGAATTCACATGAACTTTTTAGAACCGACTCAAGCCTGTCTCTAGACAAAGTCCTATATATATGTCTTTTGTTCTAGAAGGGCATGCATGTGATTGGCTAATTTACATCTCCCGGACAAAGTCCCATATACATGTCTTTTGTTCTAGAAGGGAATGGATGTGATTGGCTAATTTACATGAGATGGATTTATTGTTATTACATGCACGGACTTGACTCAAGGACCGAGTCCTAATCGAAGTCCCTATTCACTGAGTCCAGACCGAAAGGATCAGACTTTTAACAGCCCTAGTGATGAGTATTGTGAAGAGTGATGGCCGTAATTACCCTTTTAACGAAGATGGTCCCGGTAAGGCCTGGTGGGCACGCTTTATAAAAGATTATTCTGATCTATCTTTTCGAACGCCTCAGGCCTTGTCAGAGGCACGTGCTCAAAGAACCAATCCAACTATTCTTAAAGATCACTTTGACAAACTATATAAAATATTACAAGATAATTCACTTACCCCGGACTGAATTTGGAATATAGACGAAACTGGCTTTGTTATAGCTCCACAGGTTCAAAAAGTTCTTGCAGTAAAAGGCTCTCGTCAAATTCATAAGGTTGCACATGGTAATTCGCATGATCATATTTCTGTTGTGCCAACTATTTCAGCTGCTGGTGATTATATCCCTCCATTAATAATATACAAAGGCGTTCGTGCTATTCCCAGGTTGTTAAATGGTGCACTATCGGGTACGGTTATGGGTTTCACCGATTTAGGATACATGCGTGAAAATCTCTTTCAAATGTATATTGAACACTTCATAAATTCCATTCCTTCTCGTCATCCTGTTCTTTTAATGCTTGATGGCCATAGTAGTTATATAAATTATTTGAGCGTTAATTTTTGTCATGAAAATAGGATTTTATTATATGCGCTTCCACCCCATACGACTCATATCCTTTAACCATCTAAACTACCTTTTGCCAAACTCAAAATCAAATATAGTAAAAATTATAATCAACTTCACCATGTAACCAGCGAATTGGTAACTAAGCACACATTTGCTAAAATGCTTGGCCCCACATTTATTAAAACTTATACTCTAGCAACAATAACTAATGCTTTCAAAACTACCAGAATTTGGCCGTTTAATCCTAATGCTATTAGCCCTTATCGTCTCAACCCTTCTTTATCTACTGAACGAATTGATATTTTACCTCTCAACAAAACTATTATTCTTCTATGCCATCTTCATTTACACCGTCTTTCACTATACCATCTTTATCTACACTGTCTTTCTTTACACCGTCTTCCTTTACACCCTCTTTCTCTACACAGTCTTCCTCTACACCGTCTTCCTCTACACAGTCTTCCTCTACACAGTCTTCCTCTACACAGTCTTTCTTTATACCATCTTCCTCTGCACCACCCTCTTCTACATCATCTTTCTCTACACTATCTTCTTCTTCTATACCGTCTCCTACACTGTGTACACAAGGTAGTATTAGTAAGAAGAACAAACTATTAGAAGCAGAAATTCAGGCACTAAGAAGAGAAAATATGCTACTAATAGAGGAACTTGAAACATTTAAAAATCCTGGTACTTGCACATTAAAACTAGCTCTTAAGTATCCTACTTCCCAGGTTCCAATACAAGTCAATGAGAAAGAGTCCAATCAGCCAAAAAAATGAAAAACTTTGCTATTTGCCAGACTTCTTACAAACAAAGAATCTCTAAATTCTCTAAAAGAAATGAATGAGTTAGCAAAAAGTAAAGCTGAAAATGCAAAAAAAAGAAAGGAGGAGGCAGCCCAGAAACAAGCTGATCGGGAAGCTGAAAAAAAAATAAAAAGAGCCAAAAATGAGCGAAAAAAAGAAGAACGGTTGCAAAAAAAAAAGAAATAATCATGTGTAATTATGCTGTGTTATACTTATCTGTAATAATGTAATACAATGATTTCCGACATTAATTCAACATATCTGATGTGCGCCATAATACCCCCAAAATCAATAAAACATAGCATTTTTTGAGTAGATTTTGAAAGCTCATATTTTGAACTTTTTTTTTACAAATCGATTTTTTTTTTTATTGGCATGTAGTTGATTTGATAAGTAATCTATTTCTATAAATTTCAAGAATAAATATCTTTTTTCTGGAAATTTTTATATAAGCAACTCTTAAGTGCGTCATAATACCCCACCTTCCCTTATATATAAAAAATAAAATCTAAATTTGGCCACTAAAAATTTTTATTTGCTGTGTCCTTACCCTTAAACTTACTATCGCTATGAATCCATAATTATGTGTACAGAATATTGCAACATCTACATGTTTAATTACCTGTATTAGCTGAAAGTTAAAAAGGCCGTTTTTCTCAAAAATTGCTTCCGAATTCACCCTTACACGATCAAACAATGACAAACCGATCGTTGACTACCCAAAAATACTCAAACGTTTCAACAACTAGTGATAGTGCTTTCTTTACAACTTAGAATAGCTGTTTTTTCGGTATTTATTGCTTATTTATCTCATATAGAGGCTAAAAAAAACATTTTTAATGAATGTTTCGTTTGTTATTCTTCACGTCACTTAATGGTAAAAGTTCGTGTAACAGTTTATCGAAAAAAAACCCCTAAAAATACATTTGAAAATCTTGAGGCGTGAGCCGTACGTATGGTATATCTAACAATAACGATAACGATAAGTTAGGATATAAATATGGTTTTGCTTACTTATTTGAGTTGTATCTTTCAAATAATTTGGTTACTACTGTACTACTACTCATATTTTAAAGCTTTGAATAATGCCTCAAACGGAGGAAATTCAATGTCCATTATGTTCCTCCAAAGTTTCAAATTTTCATATTAATTTAACTTCAGATCTATTGATGTGTATTAATGAATCGGTTAGTAATGCTACTGTAACTTTATGAGACTTATTAAGCACGATACTTATAAAAAAATTTTTTTCGTATAGTGCACGTATCCATTTGAAACAGAGGATATTTCAAAATTTATTGTGCAAAATGATGAACAGACAGCTCTAGCCTCTGATTCAGAGATTCGAAATAGTGGGACCAACGACATAGAAATCCTTCCATCAATCTCAGGTGATCCCTCGTTTGATCTAAATCCTTTTAAAAGCAATAATGATCTTACTTTTACATCGCCGATATTTTCTGTCGAAAAAAATGAAGCAATAACGGATTTATCACAATTCGATGAGATTCTGAATAACCTTTCGACAAATAATAATGATTTTACCGCCAATGGCATAGATATGTTGTTAAACGAAATTGACTTCTCATCAACATTGGAAAATGATGATGGTAGCAATAATTTAAATCAAGTAGATTTGAATATTACGTTACCATTAATAACTAATACCGAATTAGAAGTAACAGATAACTTAGCACCTATAATAAGTGTAGATGATCACGTTATGACTGTGGGCAATATACTTGATTCTACCACTGATTTAGATGCATTGTTGGGATCATTTAAATAAAAGTTTTAAACTTTTGTTCAAAAGTCCTTTAATGATTTCAAAAGTTTTTTTTAATAAAATATGTTTTATAGCGCTTTGCAAAAAGATATGAACATGTGATTTTAGTAGGGATGGCAAATGATTTAAAACAAAATGTTTTAAATCAGTTTTATATTGCTTTAGAGTGATTTTTTTACA